TAATATATTCACGTGCAGTCGTGCATGTTTAACAAAAACTATGATCGAAGCAAGGCTAAAGAAATAATAGCAATGTAAATTTTTATAAATGAGTAACAAAAGGTAAATGGTACGTATTATGTAGTAGCCTGTGCAAACACACATATTGCATACTAGTAACATAAACTTTTTAAATAAACATCATACATATGCTAAAAGACTTGTTGAGGTCCCAATTAGAATCAGCTATGTATTGGCACAATCGGAGTTCATCACAAGGTGATGGTTGTTAAAGAAACACATTCTAAATCAAACAGGAAATCCTTTCTTTCAAACAACAGAACAGACATTAACCACAGCAAATGTAGGAAAAAAGTTACCTTGTTGTTGCTAGCATGCTGCCACTAGGTGAGAAATAAGCTGACTGAACAGATCTATTATGTTTTAGAACCTTCAAGCTCTCTTCTTTCTTCCTTTTAAGCCTTCTGAGATCCCATATGCGTGCTGTTCGATCTGTTGAACTTGTGGCAAGCATATGTCTTTTCTCTGGATGAAAATCTATTGAGTTAATTGTATTGTCATGTGAATCCCATGTGCTTGATACCTTACCCATCCGCTCATCAAGGAGTTTCAGTTCACCATTTCCGTCACCAAAATATAGGCAGCTAGGACTATCTGGTGCTTGACAAAGCGAATAAACAGGATAGTCGCACAACTGGATCATATTAAAGCTCTCCTTCTCAAGGTCCATAAGACAAATTTCACCCTCATAACTACAGCTGTAAATCTACAAGGCAAATATATGAAAGACAACAAAATTAGAATCGTGATTGAATGCGGAGATGTTCAACAAAACATAAATCACTGTTAGAACATTGTCTTCTCATCCTATCATCAACCTTGTCAGAAGACGCTTATGCAACACTACACGTATCAGAAACGGGAGCATACATCCTAGTCGGTCTACCTTGAAACATGGTTAGCATATGTTGCTATCGGATGTTTCTGGGGAAAAACGTCCTAGAATTAGCTGCTAGAGGATGATTGGCTGCTTAAGATTAATAAGGAAGAACACCAACAAAATCTAAAGCCCCTCTGTCTCCCTTAACAACTACTTGCCCCTGCCTTATTCCATCCTCTTCCATGACCCATTTTGTACGGTCACCACACACCCACCACCCACCGATCAAAATGTTCCCCTATCCTCACATGACGATTAATCCAGAGTATCGACCAGCCAACCCTGCAGTCCCCATAACCTAATATACGTTTCTCAGCTGTTAAGCAGCAGCAATAATTTTCTTCAATCAGTTCATTTCACAGACGTCATCCTAGAAATAATCCAATGACTGGTAACAGTGCTAAATATTATCATCCCTACAAACAATTGCCCATACAATAGAAACTTCTATTGGCTTTACCTACACAGCTTAGAACTCATCAACATAGTGAGCTCGGTTAACATGAGAGTACTGTGAAGTTATTTGTGAAGATTTATGCACAAATTAGCAAAGAGAAGTGCAATTTACTCTTACCAAATCCTGCGTTCATACTATCCAGCCACCAATTGAAGCGAACACCATACAATTGACTTAAATTCAAAATGTTAAATCACTAATCAGAGAACCAGTAAAAGAGCAGAAAGACAGGGAACCATCACCTTCTGTGGCGCGGCAGGGTGCGCCACGATTGCTGGCACAGGGCCCCTGTGAGGCAAATACTCGAACAGCCCATCTGCACCATCGTCGCCATCCTCATCTTCCACCATGCCGTCCACAACCCAGAACCCAATATTCCCCAACTTGTTCCCCGCCGCGACCACGGTCCGGTCGACCAGCGGCAGGACCCGAACCCCAAGTATCCTGTCGGGCACCACCTTCCTGACGTTCGCAGGCGTCAGCACGAGCTCCTTCCCGGCATCGAAACCGTCCGCCCGAGCCCTGGCAGGCGGCGCGAGCGAGGCGGACTCGATGATGGAGGACGCGAGCGAGGAGGAGAAGCTGGTGCTGCGGGGCACCGGAGGGGGCCCGGGCGTGGGCTCGGCGTCCGGGGAGTGGGAGGGGGGGAGCTGGGAGAGCCGGAGGGAGCGGCGGAGCTCGCCGGGGCTTGTCTTGGCGGCGGGCTTCTTGCGGGGCTGATTGCTGGGGCGCCCTTGTCCTCGTTTGGACGAGGACTTGATGGCCGCCGAGAGCTCGTCGGCCTTGCGGCGGAGGGAGGCGAGGATGGCCTCGTTGCGGCGGATGTTCTCCTCGCGGAGCCGCTCGTAGTCGGTGAGGCCGGCGGCCTGCCGCGACGCCATTATTCACCCCTGGACAGCGGCGGACCCAGGAGTCAAATTTAGCCGGGAGGAACATTTTAGGCCTACAAAAATTTAGGTACCAGCGCCGGAGGTAGTGTCGCTGCCGCCAAAGCTACGACCTTCTCAACGTCGGGCGGTGGCTCAGCAGGCAGCAGCGGCAGGAGCGGCAGGAGGTGGCGCGGCAGGCAGCAGCTGCACGGAGAGGCAGGCGGTGGAGCCGCACGGAGCGGCCGGCGGCGGCGCGACAGTTGCTACTGGCTAGGGCTCGAGTAGGGGTTGGAAATGGGAGGGGATCGATTTGGCGAGATAGAAGCCGATCGATTCGGGAAGTGGATCCTAGAGAAAACTCACCTAAGCTACAGTGCATCAAAAAAAAATCTAGTGCAAAATAAAGAAGGAAAGTCAGAGGCACGGTAGCAAATAATGTAATTATCTACTGTAGCAGATTATATGTGTGGTTACTGTTCATGTAAATAAATTTAAAATTAATTTTATTGCATCATAATTTTGTTTGTATGTATTTTTTATAAATGTATACAATAGATTTGTAATTTGTAAATTAATTCAAGTCATTTTAGCCTTAATCATATGGATGTGAAAAAAAAAAGTTAGAGAATTGTAGCTTAGGTGACTTCTCTTCTTCATGTTGATGTTAGAGGATCCACTTCCATCGATTCGATCACTACTTTGTTTTTCCTTTTTTTTTAGGGTGGTGGTGGTGGCGTGACTGCGTGTGGACTGTGGTGTGATCTAAGTTGGGCCTTAAGTGCAATCAGCCAGTTGGGCCTTAAGTGCAATCAGCCGAGTGAGAGTACTGCTAGTGTCCACTTCAGCCCAAGCCGCTAGCGAGGCTCTTGCCTTTGCGCAAGATCTTAGTTGGGCTTTGCTACATCTACGTAGGTATTCTACGTAAGGTTACTTAAGAGCTGATTTGGCATGCATTGATTGGAAGAGAAAATTGCACGGGTCCCACCCCCTGAAAATAGGGGGGAGAGAATTAAATTGTTAGGAAGATTAAATAACATTACGTAGGTGGTTACGTAGGTGTAGGATTATTGATCTTAGTTTGGTCAAGAGGAAAGTATGCTGTTGGTAATAGCCTGGCAATACGACACTAAGGGCCTGCACTCTGTCAAGAGTGCTTATAAATTGCACGTCCAACTCGAGAAACAAGTGCCAGAGGGCGGCATTGGTAATAGCTCAACAATGGCTGGTAACCTAAACTCTTGCCACGATGATTCTTGGAAACGACAATGGAAATTGCCATGTCCCAGGAACATTCAAATGTTTATATGAAGGATCAAACATGAATCACTTGCCTTGAGAACAAACCTTGTTAGGAGAGGAGTTACAGTCGAGGATGCATCCTGTTTATTTTGTGGCAGGGCAGATGAGGATGGGGCTCATTTATTCATCAAATGCAAGTCTGTGAAGGAAGTATGGAGGGAGTTAGCTCTGGAAAAAGAAAGAATGGAGCTGGAGGAAATAACGTCAGTGCACGCAGTGCTTGATTACCTCTGGGCTCTAGATGAGAAAAAACGGCTACTCATCTTGACTTTCTGGTGGTTTTGGTGGTCCAACCGTAACAAGCTTTGGGAAGGGGAGCTCCCGGTTTCTGCATTTGAAACGGCCAGACGTACTCGCTGCTGCGTTTGGAGTATCAGCAGATTTTTAGCCCTCCATCAGCCAAGCTAACCACTGGGCAGTGGCGCCCACCAACTGATGGCATGGTTAAAATCAATGTGGACGGATCATTTGTTCCGGGAGAAACACATGCAAGCTGGGGCGTGGTGGCAAGATCGATGGAAGGAGAAGTTATCTTTGCCCGTGTGGGGAGGCAGGAGAATGTCCATGATGCTTTTGCCGCGGAGGTCTATGCTATGACACATGCGGTCGCTACGGCTGCCGATATGGGTATGATCCGAGTGGCTTTTGAGATAGACTCGCAGCTGCTTACCGATGCGATGCCCTGGACCTGCGGAAGGCTGACTCATCCGCGTACTCGGCTGTCATTGAGGACATTAAACTCCAACTTAAGCTCTGGTTTTCGCGTCATGTAATTTCCTTCTGTAGGCGTGAAAACACGGTTGCACATGAACTAGCTAGTATGGGTCGTATGTGTGAACCGAACCAATCTGTAGTGTGGGATTCTGATGTATCAGCCAATGTGGCTGCTTGTGCTATGGGCGAGCACGGTTAAGTTATAAAGCTATGTTTTTCCCCTTAAGAAAAGAGGAAAGTATGCTTTCCCCCCTCAAACCCCTTCCAATGGATGAATTCCCCCCTAAACTCTAAAACCAGTTAATTTGCCCCTCAACTCCTCAAAATCGGATCGATCAGCCCCTGAGCGGTATTCAACGACATTTCAGGTGGTTTTGATCTGTTTTTTTTCTCTCTTCTCAGGCGGGCCGGGCCGAACGGGCGGCAAGGTAGCTGGAGCAGCCGCCTCCAGACTCGTGGGCGAGCACATCGAAAGGGAACACCGGGTAAAGGAGCACGTCGTGTCGGGAGCGGCAGCGAAGAAGGTGTCATCTAGTGCCCGCACCCCTCTCAGGTGAACGTCGCCTCCACCCCTGCAGTACATGTGCCCGTCTTCGTCGCCGTCTGGCAATACATGTGCCCATCTCGCTCGCTCCTGCATCTTTGTTCACCCAGAAAAATTGTCACTGCACGTATATTTGATACGATCCTCTTCCCCACGACGGCGTCACAACGATACCAGATTATCCACGTCGTCTAATCCAAGTACTTAGTAGAATTAATCAACGGAGGCACACACGTTAGTGGACTGAAGGGCCAAATCTTATGCGTAGCCTGCCAAAAGAAAGGCTCATTTCGTGAAGCAAATCTGAACAACCGTCAGGAGAAAATAACTCATTCACCTGGAGCGTGGCTGATGTTGCAATGCTGCCCTCCTTGAATCCACTAGTACACTTTGGTCAATGTACAGAACTAAATTATGCTCGTACGACGCAAAAATGTCTCTGTTGTGCTCTAGCCTTAACCAATCGCGAGTACTGCTAGTGTCCACTTCAGCCCACGCTGCTAGGGAGGCTCCTGCCCTTGTGCAAGATCTTTAATCTTCGTTTTTTTTTTGTGTGTGTGTGAAATGAACTGCAGGACAAGATTGCAAAGAGCCAGTGATACAACACACCCCAGAATAACAAAAAAATTACAAACAGGTCCTTGGGGCGGTGAACCCATTGGATAAGCGCATGGACTATTGGCGGACGGGAAGTCTTCATCTTCGGTCAAAGACCAGCACATCGGAAATAGGCAAAGCCGGTGTTGCATCACCACCACTGGAGCCGCCGGCTTGACACGACGCGAGCATGCCGAGACGCAGCCAGGCAAGAGCAATCATACCTAAGATCCACGAATTGACAAGAACTAGGCTAGCGCAACCATCCAAAAAGAGAAGGCACGCTAACCCAACACCTAAACAAATCCATCCAGCCGCGCAACAGCACCGGAGGGAACGCCGCCACACTGGCAACAAAGCCGGAGGATCAAAAATCCCCTGGTAAGAACATTGACGCAACCACACTGTCCTCACCCAGGAAAACAACTCATGCCGTCGCACGCGAGCGACGAGAAGACTATGCACCCCAATCTGATCCGCCGCCCTGAAGGACGCCGCGGTGGAGGAGAAACTGCTGCAATTTATTCCGACATGATGCCGCCACCTCCACCCGAACGACACCACAAGAAAAGCTAACCCTAGCCCTATCTACATGCCGGAATCAAAGAACCGGGTTCCTCCACCCTCCCGCCACCGGAGCAATGGATGGAGGAGGAGGGAACCGGCGACTGATGGATGGGATCTGGTTGCCTCTAGTTTCGTCCCTCTTCAAGGAGAAGGGAAAGCGAAGCCTTAACCTTTAGAGTTTGGTCAATGCTTTGGATTGCTTAGAAGTTATATCAAACATCAAGAATGGAGAAGATCAATTCTAGTAGGAGAAACTCTACTCATGCAGTAGAATTTTGTTTTGAGCATAGGGAGAATAATTTTGAAAGTCACTCGTTAGCAAAAGGAGTCGCGTCTCTTTCAATGGGTGAAAGTGGGTCGCCGTGTGTGGCTAGTGGTTTTACAGGATGTTGCTTGTATTCCAGATGTTTTGAATTTTGAATAAAGTCCCTAGTTACCCTAAAAAAGGTTAAGATCAATATTATTATTTTTTGAACCGAGGTTAAGATCAATGTTGACGCAGCTATGTCCAGAAATGATGGCTATGGCGCTGTTGGAGTAGTGTGCCGTGACCACAACAGCGTCTAACACCAGGTAAATAACTGATTTCGCGATGGAGTGAATTGGTAGTACTAGCCCTGCACTTTCCAGAATTTTTGTCTAAAAAAACCACCTGTCGAATCGAATTAACAGAAAAGACCACCTTAAAATTCAAATGGCAAAAAAGACTAGCTCACCGTGGCGGCTGGAGCGCCAGCCGACATGTGGCACCTGCCGCCACGGGTGCAGGCGGCAGCACCTGCCGCCATCGTCGCCGGCGGCATGTTGAGCAGCACAGCTACATGCTTTGCCTTGGAACGGAAAACGGAAGACGTGGGGCCTGCCGCCACATGCTGCGGCGGCACCAGGTTTGCTCTATTTTATCAAATGGGTGATGGGACTGCGCATGCATTATCTATGCATGACATGAAAGCATGCGCATGTCTGTGACTGTGTGTGTTCGCTGGCTAGCTATCAGCATTCTTTGCATGCATTGGTATGGAGTCAAGCTATAGCCACGGTAGCACTGCCACCACGCTAGCCAAAACATGAGCAACAGCAACAGAAGCTGCCGCCTCGCATGGTGACGGCAGGTCCCAAAGGAGCTGCTCCGTTCCGTCGCACTGACGAAAATCTGTGGCACGACGGCTGCCGCCTGAGGCAGTGCGGCAGGTGCTGCCGCCTGAGCCGGTGGCGGCAGGTGCCAAGGCTGGCGCACCTGCCGCCACGGCTTCACTGGTCTGTTTTGCCAATGTGATTCAAATGTGGTTTT